GGGCTTGGGGATGGGCACATAAATCAGATTCTTCCCTCTGGATGCTTCGTTTAGAGTCTAAGCAAGTCCTGAGGTCTGCTGGAGGGTCCTCTTCCTGATTAGAACCGCTCATTTGTTTCTCTATGGGACATTAAGTATGGTTCAAGCCTATTCTCAGCTCTGGCTTTGAGACTAAAATGGGAGAGGCAGGCTTTGGAATAAACAGGAGTCAGACCCACAGATGTCGCATGGAGACAAAAGAGAGAATGTGGTCTTTCCATGAGCACACAGCCATAGCCGTCGGTCCTAACATGTCATTGTGTGTGTGCTAGCAACAGAGTAACGAACCGTTTGAAGTTATGGGTCTGGGTAGGCAGAACACACACTCTCAAAGCTGTCTGTTTATGCTCTGGAACCTGCTACTGCTTCCTTGTCTGACCGAAGGGACTTTGCGAGTCTTAGGTTGAAGAGTCAGAGTCAGTGGCAGGGAACAATTCTGGAATATCCAGGCAAGGTCAATTTAAGCACAGGAGTCCTAACGGTGACCATACCCTCCTCTGGACAAAAGTCGGAACTATGGAAGCAGGGTTAGAAGATACTGTGTTGCAGATCCCACACGGAATGTGTGCAGCCATTCCAAGCTGAGAAGCCTGGGCCATGGCCCCTCCCCAAAGCCTAGAAAGAGAGGCAACCCTGTAGACAGCTGGATTTTAGTTTAACCCTGTGACATTTTCAACCTACAGAACTGCAAATAAATATATGTTGTTTGGGGCTGGACAACCATAGTGTCCACCTTGGTACATACCTTAGTGCCAGGACTTTAGTTAAGGCCAGCCTGGTCTATATAGTGAGTTCCAGGTCAGCCAGAACTATACAGTGAGACTTTTTGTTTTTAAAGATTCATTTATTTTATGTCTATGAGAACACTTCAGCTTTCTTCAGTTACACCAGAAGAGGACATCAGATCACATTACAGTTGGTTGTGAGCCACAATTCCCAGCAACTGTGGTTGCTGGGAATTGAACTCAGGACCTCTGGAAGAGAAACCAGTGTTCTTAACTGTTGAGCCATCTCTCCAGTCTGAGACTCTTTATCAAAAAATCAAAAATCAAACTAAAACAGAAATGGTGCTGTTTTAGGACGTTAAGTTTGTAATAATGTATATGATTGTATGCGTATGCTTGGGCCAGGGAGTGGCACGATTAGGAGGTGTGGCCTTGTTGGAGTAGGTGTGTCACTGTGGGCGTGGCTTTAAGACCCTAGTCCTAGCTGCCTGGAAGCCAGTCTTCTGCTAGCACCCTTCAGATGAAGATGTAGAACTCTCAGCTCCTCCTGCACCATGCCTGCCTTGATGCTGCCATGCTCCTGCCTTGGTGATAATGAACTGAACCTCTAAACCTGTAAGCAGCCCCAATTAAATGTTGTCCTTATAAGAGTTGCCTTGGTCATGGTATCTGTTCATAGTAGTCAAACCCTAACTAAGACAATGTGTTAAGCCAGGAAAGAGAAATCTGAAAGAACACCCATCCTTCAACTTGGGAAAGATGTCACTTTGACTGACAGACCAGGGCTGTAAAGACAAAACGCCAACACATTTGGCAACCAGCTTCACTTGGATGCTGGGAAGGGAAGACGAAGGAGAAAAGGGTTGTGAGAAGGAAGTTCAGAGCCACTCTTACACAGACTGAAACACATGCAAACAATAGAAGCATATTTACACTTAGAACTTACAAATTCTAAGTTTTGTCAAAAAAACAAAAAACAAAACAAAACAAAAAAAACCCCAAAAAACCGGAAAAAGAACCAACCAAACAAACAAAACCCAGCAAAACTAGAAAAGGCATGGCTCTTAGTAAAGACAAAGCTAGCTCCATCAAATGTCTCAGCACCTAGTTACACACACACCTGGGAACAGTAGGGTTCAGAATCACTGATTTAGCCTTACCAGGGAAGCGTCTAGAATCATCTTTGCGCACTGTTCGATGTTTAATACAGAGTCCCATAACTGGTCAAAGCGCAGAGAATAAGTATCTGGGCAGCACTCGGCCATGAATGGGACATCTATAACTTAACACGCCATCTCCCAAGACTCCTAAGGATGAGCAGATTCTAAGGGTCAAGGTTTGGGGGGGGGGGTGAGGGTAAACAGTTTTCTGGACAGGAGGGGGTCACTGCACTCACTAAGTCACAGCATCTGTGGCTGCCTGCATATGATCAACCCGGTAATCGGTCTAACGAGAATGCCGGGTCCTCACTCCTTGGCTGGAGAGCTTGACTGCTGGTAGGGGAGGAAAAGTCAGTTTTCTTTCAAAGTCTTACTTGGAGAAACAATGTAGCAAGTTCCCTCGCAGGTGAAGTCTCGCGGGATGATGACAGTCCCATAGCTGCACATGAGTGGAGTCCCCTTCTCCACTGACTTCCTCTAGTCTCTTTTAGCACCTCCTAAGGCAACATTCAAATTATGAGCAAAGCAAGGGGGAGGGAGTATAGGAAGGCAGGGCTGCTGTCTCAAGTGAGGACTGAGGGCCTCCCCCTCTATGAGGCAATGCTAATCACTGTAGAGTACTCACCACCACGGCTGCCCTGGTGTTTGTTCTATGTCTGCCTCTTCCTCCAGCTCCTCAGCCCTTCCACCCACCACTCCACAACATCCCTTGAACCTCGGATGGGCTGATACAGACACACCTAGATAAACATCACTGCTGTTGGCTGCAGACCAGAACCAAACTTTAAGACCCTGTTATTAAACACTGAACCGTATGCTTGCAGGACATGGAGAAATCAAATGGATTGAGAGGGAAGTTCCCCAACTGGTTTTTTGTTTGTTTGTTTTTGTTTTTGTTGTTGTTGGTGGTTTTTGTTTTTTGTTTTTGTTTTTTTGTTTTTTTGTAATGCTAGAAGCCACTATGAAGGCTGCCAAAGGAGAATTGTCACCTCAGGCTAGGCTGGAGACTCTGGTGTGATTTCTTCCTGATGACTGGACCATTGTGGTACGGCAACAGTTGTGCCAGCATCTTCACCAAATAAAAACATCTGCTGTGACAATCCCTGAAAGGGGCGGCTGATGGCAGCCACACTCTGTGTGAGCAGGCGTAGTCACCAGGCCATTTGACAGGTGCATTCTGTCTATTTAACTATTTAACAATAGCAGTAGCTTTTCCCACCTGGGCTACGGGTTTGGCGAGAGGCACAATGATTCTCACTTCATAATCAGAGCGTGGAGATGAAGATTATTTGAAATCCAAGCAGTTTACTTTGCAGATTTGCAGTTGGGAGTCTGCCGTGAATGGCAGGCCCACTGACTGAGCGCAGACTACCTTACAAATGAACGTGTGTGTCGCCCTGCTTTGTGAACAGTAATAAAGACACAGTCTTACAGGTTATCCTGGTTTCATAGTCTGTGTCTTTTACTCAACAAACCCCATGGGGATTCATCTCTAAGCTTTCACCCCGTTTTGAACTTTTCAGAGGCACGACCTTGCAGACTTAGCAGGGATCTATTTTCTGTTCATTTGTAGCTGGGCTTCAGCTGCCTCGAGTCATCTTTGAAAGTGAAGCATCTGATTCCTTCTTGTAACTTCCAGTCAATGGGAAAGTTGCTGGAGGCATCCAGAATAGTCTGTGCACTACTGTACGACATCTTGCCTGGAATACTGGGCACACAGAGTCCCCAGCCTAGCCTGAGGTGACAATTCTCCTTAGGCAGCCTTCATAGTACCTTGCAACACTACAAAAAACCAGTTGGGGAACTTCCCTCTCAATCCATTTGATTTCTCCATGTTCTGCAAGCATACGGTTCAGTGTCTAATAACAGGGTCTTAAAGTTTGGTTCTGGTCTGCAGCCAACAGCAGTGATATTTATCTGTATTGTTTTGATGGCCAAGAAACCCTCAGAAGGGAGAACACCCTGGGAAGCTGATTCTGAATTGATAACCTTAAGGCTTCAGAAACTTCCTCCATCCACACTGGTCTTGGTGTTTTCTAATTATAAACCACTGAGTAGGAGTGTCCTTAACAACTTCCCTATGCTCTGAGAGTCCTGTCTAGAAAAGGTTGTCTTAGTCACTGTTCTTTTGCTCTGAGGAGACACCATGCTCAAGGCAACTTATAAAAGAAAGGATTTAATTGGGGACTCAGTTCCAGAGGGTGAGTCCATGACCATCACAGTGGGGAGCTTGTCACCGTGTCAGTAGGCAGGCAATTGTTGGAGCTGTAGATCTTACATCTTATCCACAACCAGGAGGCAGAGGTCCAGGAAGACTGGACCTGGCACGGGCTTGTGAAACCTCAAAGCCCACCCCCAGTGACACACCTACCCCAACAAGGCCACGCCTCCTAATCCTTCTTAAGCAGTTCATCAATCAGGAAGCAAACATTCAAATGTATCAGGTAATGAGGGGCACTCTCAGTCAAACAACCACAAGTTGTCTCTTGGAAAAACAAAACCGAGAACATTTTCCTTCTCAGCGTTGGGATTACAGGTGTGACTCCAGTCGCTGCTCAAGTGTTTATTGTTGGTATTTGGGGGTGGGGGAATGCTCAGGGTAAAACAGGCTTCCTTACCAAGAGAGGAAAACTGGGAAGCCTTGAAAGAGACATTCTTCCTCAACCGTTATCAGCCCTAGCCATGTATTAAGGAAGGGAGGCTTAAGCCGTGTGATTGACATCAGTGTTCAGGGTCGAATTTAGGACCGAGCATGGCAATAACCAATGATTGGTAAATGCCACCAGAGTTAAGAATTCGGAGGCAAAGGTCGGAAGGGCTCCGTGAGTTCGGGGCCAACCTGGTCCACACAGCGAGCTCCACACTAGCCTGGGCTACATAGTGAGACCTGTCCCGAAAGACAAAATCCTGCTTCACTGCTACCTCGGGGGTCGCTATTTGCAGTGTGGCGGGCAGGGAGGACTGCGGGGCGGAGAGCAGGCGGAGGAGGGCGGCGCCGAGGGGCCGGGGCCAGGGCTGCGGCTCCGCCGGAAGTGCCCGCCCGCCCGCTCGCCCTGGGCGTCCTCGGCGGAGACGGCGTGGCCGAGCGGACCGAGCGCCTCGCTGCCCCGCAGGTGAGCTCTCCCGTGGGATGCGGTGCGGCCGCCGCCCGCGCCTCTGCTCCCGCTCCTCGCTTCTCGGCCGCCGCCTCCGACCCTCACCTCCCCCGTTTCTCCGTCCCTCCCTCCTCGTCCTCTCTCTTTCCCTCTCCTCCGACTGTCTTCCCTCCCTTTCTCTCCCCCTCCTCCTGCCCTCATCCTGCCCGGGCAGACCCTGCAAAGTGGCCCCCGAGTCCCCCGGGTCCAGGGTCGCCAGCCACCGGCAGCCGCAGCCTGCTTTCTAGGATGCTCCTTGCCTGGGTGGAACACCCGAGCAACTTTTGGTCCGTTCTGGAAGCAGTTGCTGGGATTGTGATACTTTTTTTTTCTACACTGTATTTAAAATTGTTAAAGATTACTTTAAAAATGTAAAATAAGATTGGGGAACGATCCCAGTTTTGAGGAGTTCTTTCTAGCAATTAAGAATAGTGAGGTCTGGAATTCAGCGTGGGCTAGCCGTTTCCAGGTATCATCGCAAGAAGTGTGCTAACTTTTTTTTTCTTAGATTTCCAAGGCTTGAGGCTTTCTTTGTCTGGTTAGGGGTCTCAGGGCCTTACACTTTTTCACATACTGAGGAACGTTGGTTCTTTAGGAGCGGGAGTGAAGTGCTCACCAGTTTGATGAGCTGTTTAGCACAATGCAGTGACTGAGCACATACCAATGGCCGTCGCTTGGGTCACTTGGACAGTTGTATCTCCGAAGGTGAGGGCTGGAGTCCTGGGAAGTCACGGGGCATCCCACCTTCCGCTACTCACCTTAGAGAAGCGGTCAACCGAGTCCCAGCTACGGGCAAAAGTCATTTTCCCTTGCAAATAGAAAACATTAGTCAGTATGAAGACTCGTTAGGGCACATGCTACTGAAAGTGTTAGTGGACAGTAAATGAAATTCTTAGGAAATGTTAAGAAAATATGTTGGGTTTCCGCCCCAATTCTCTCTCTTAAGGAACGATTATTCTGCACAATTTTGCACATTTGTACAGTTTTGCACATTTAAATGAATGAGTTTTGTACAAAAAATAGTGAAAGAAATATTTGATTGGGAGCCTGGGGCGTGGGGTGGGGGTGTGGGAGTAGGGGGGTAATGACATCCTGTGACCTTTTTTGGCTGTTAAACCTTGAAGTCCGTCTGCTTTTTAATTACTGGTGACTAGCCTGGTTACTGGTGGGGGATGGGAAGGATTTGCATTTGTTTGCTTTTAGGGGTAGGGTACAAGCCGCACTGACTTCTTTCTTTGAGTTTCCAGGCCACCTCCAGGGAGGGCCTGGCAGTGTCCGGTGAAAGTCCCAAAGGACAGAACCTGGGAATAGGCCTCTGGAGGGCAGGGCAAGGGAGCTTGCAGGAAGCCTGGGCCTGCAGAGCAGCCCGGGAAGTCCTAGAGTGGAGACTGCTTTTCCTCTTTACATGCTCGCCCCTCCCCCTTTTTTCTTTTTCTTTTTTTTTTTTTAAATAAAGATTCATTTACTTTAAGACCGAACCTGAAAAATACCATCCATCATTTCTTTTTTAAAAGCCTTTCTAGTTTGGAAATAGGAAACAGTAATGGTGGGCAGAATGGTCCTAACAAGCTTTTATTTTACTGCCGGGGCATGTGTAGTGTGAGTGTCAGAGTTCACTCCTCTGCACTCCAAAGGAGTCAGGCGTGATACTCTGACCTGTGACCCCAGCTGGGGCGACGGGACTGAAGCCCTGGAGTGTCTGGCCAGCTAGCCAGCTGAGTCAGTGCCGTCCAGGTTCACTGCAAGGCAGAAAGCCCTAGGGGAAGACGCTGGTCACGGAGGCATCATGTGTTTGTACACACACACACACACAGAGGCTTTAGCTTTAATCTTAAAAACTGCACGAGGTATTGAACACTTTAAAATTTCTTGGACAGTTTCACACCTAAGAACATTCTCAAGGGATCCTAGGCAGTTTTGCTTTCCAGGTTTTTTGAACTTATTGGTGGAATTAGTCGGGAGAGACTTGGCTTGAAGTTTTGGGGTGTTTCCTGATTCCCCAGAGAGAGGCCTTCTTATGCTTTGTGAGGTGCTGGCCTCTGAGAGCCTGACCCATGTATCTGTAAAGACTGTCACAGATGCAGTAGTGGCAGCTGCTTCTATCCTTTCTTTGATCATTCCTTTCATCCCCAACGCCTGCATCCCCCCCCTCTGCGTGTTAGTTCCTTCTATTCAGATGCTATACATGCACTAGTTAACCTCATAGCACTTCTGAAGAATTTTTACTTTAGCTGTGGTTGCTGTTAATGTCAGAGAAGCTAAGGATGACGTGCCTCAGACCTTTCTCTTATTTTGGGGCGCATTTCCTGTCTGGTCTACTTATAACATGCGTGGTTTTTACTTAGTGCGGCTTGTGTTCAGAGCCTGTGCCTTGCCTGTCCTACGCTTTGTGTTGTTTATGCAGGTTTCATGTGTACCCTCCACAGCTGTCCCGAAAGCTTGCTGTTCCTCGTAAGGTTTCCTGTAGTTACAGTCTCCCCGTGTACCCCACTGTGCATGGACCAACCAGAGAGTGGGACCGACGACACTTGCCAAACTCTCACCCCCTCAGGCATGCCAGTGACCTTCTGACAGAGGGCGTGCTGACTTTAGCTCTCATCTGTATTAATACTGTTGGGATTTTATGGCCTTGGTGGGAAGCAAATGAAGTTTGGATGCTTCGTGTGCACTCTACGTAAATAGAACGCCATGCTCATGAAGTGCATGGCTCCCCGGTGGCTGGATGACAGTGTTTTTCTTCCCTGGCTCAGTGCAGCGTCTCCCGTACCTTCTGGGATGCAGGTGCCCAAAGGAGACAGCTAGTCCTCTGCTTTTTTATGTCTGATCCCCACGAGGCCATGCAGGAGCATTCTCTGTTCGTTCTGTGGTTAAATCTTCCCTTGAAGATTGAATGTTTTCCTTGATATTCTCTTCAGACAACAGACCCCAGAGGTGCTGGTTAGTTTTGGTCAACTGGATACAAGGTAGGGTCATCTGGGAAGAGGGACACTCAATTTGAGAAAACACTTTTATTTGATTGGGATGTTGGCAAGTCTGGTGCATTTTCTTCGTTAAAGAGCGACGTGGGAAGATCCCGCCCACTATGGGCGGGGCCACCCCTGGGCTCGTGGTCCTGTGCAGTATAAGAAAGCAGGCTGAGTAAGCCATAGAGAGCAAACCAGAAAGCAGCATCCATTCCTTCATGGCATCTGCATCCGTTCCTGCCCTGAGTTCTTTACCCTGACTTCCCTCAGTGATGGATTTAGAAGTCATGTAAGTCCTTCCCTCCCCAAATTGCTTTTGGTTGTGGTGTTTGTCACAGCAATAAAAAGCAAACCGGGACCCTAGGGTTATCCTTCCTGATTGGTCTGGAGGTTTGAGTTAGAAATGGACCCTCAAAGCTGTTAAATGCTATGGAATGCAGCTTTAAGGCTGCTGGAGTTGCTCTCTCTCTCTCTCTCTCTCTCTCTCTCTCTCTCTCTCTCT